AAAATGCAACATTGCACGCTGCACTTGATTCTGCGAGTATATCATAACTGTTTGTTTACCCTCGAGAAACACCAGGGCACCAATCCTATGCTAACAGAACTTGCCCCATATCATGATACTCCCATCAGATCCTTGCACAGTGCAAGTAAGGCAAGATGGATTCATGGCTTCATGGGGTTTTCGCCAAATTCGACGTCTTCCATCAGTGAAAAATAAGGTGCACCGTGATTCATCCGACCACATACCCGTTTCCAAACCTCAGATGTTCAGGGTCTTCTTTCACGAGATCACTGCAAACGAATTCTTGCATGTCGGGGAAAATGCGTGGTTTTCTCCCAGGCACCTGACTATGCATTCCTATCCTTTGCAATCTCTGCGCATGGTTCGAGATGAAATTTGTTGGCAAGAGCCTTGGTTGACGATCTGTGCCAATTGAAGCACAATAAAGTCCCTGTTCTGCCGTTTAATTCGTTGGAGACGAGGGCGATCACTCTCCTGGAAAACTGCGCTCGAACCGTAGTTACGTCTCCTGGAGAAGGACTGTGGGTTCTGGTTCCATCTTTTGAAAAACCTTTATATGGTTGCTTTTGAGAACCCAGTGAGATTTGCTGTCTTTGAAATCTAGGTCCCTACTAAACTGGCACCAACAATAAGCCCTTTTTCAAATGCTGAAACATCTGTCGTTTTTCCCATTTTGCGTCATTCATCGTGAAAAGCACTCTTACACCTTACTTATACTAGCATTCTAACCACGTATAACCTACGTCATAAAAAAACTTGCATACTTCACCCCCAGCACGCATTCAAATGAAAATCGCAAAGGTTTGTTTTCTAATGCCAGGTTTGTTTCTAATCCTAATCGCGAGGTTTTTAATGCCAGTGTGCGTGTATCACTTAAAGTGTAACTGAGGAAAAAGTACGAGATCCAGTTACTAATAATTTATTGTCCACCACATTTAAGTTCGAGTGCCACTGTAGAGGATATTAGGTTCTTCATTGTGGTTAAACACGAAAAAAAATCTGATGTGTACACCGCATGACTTCCTTGTACGGAATATTAAATTATACGCATTTTTTCTTGCATTTTGTTTAAACTTATTGGATTTAATTAGATCTACTTCACCGACAGCGCATAAACCACAATAAAATAAGTGCATTCTTTTAAATTCACTCTATTGTTTTTTTACCATCGCGACACTCTGGCGCTAGGTTCACTTAACAGTATTATATTTCGTTCATATTATAACTCAGAATGCACAAAATTTTTTGTAGCATTTAAGCAATTATCTAATCGTTGCCACATGTTCTATTCAAGTACTATAATAAGCTAGAAACGATGTATAAAAGACAAATTAAGCAAACCAAAAAAAAAAAAAGAAACAGTTTTTTTCACAGACGGTTGAGTATTCTCATTCAATTAATTCAGTTCTCACTTCGCGGACAAGGCAAAAATATATAAAAACTCAAAAAATATCTCTACTAAAAATTACTAATTATTAAAATTTAAATTACGAGTTATTAAAATTAAATTATTAAAAATTAATAAATCTTAAAACACTTATTTCCTCGAAAAAATTCCAGAAAAGTTAAGCATGATTTAAATCGCAATAATAAATGAAGGCGTTTATCCTTGTTGTTGCGAAGCTACGTTTCTCTAGATTCGCACCAAATTCACTACTCTGCTGTTTCAAATGTAAACAAGAGCAATGGCCGCCATGAAAAAAAGCTTAGCGTCACTTAAACAACTTTAAAATTGTCGATAATTCTAAAAATATTGCATACAGATTTACTAAACGCATAAAAACCTTAACCGGAAGATAAAAACAACATAATTCAACCATTTTTAAAGCAAAAAATGTACAATTTACAAACATATAAGAGTAAAGCAACTGAGATCACTGAGCCGGGTAACAGAGTGGATATATTTATAAATATATTTATATACGTTTGGCACGGCCGATTGAAACCAAAATACGAGGTGCACATCTACATGTTATAGTAGTCCTATAAACAGAATTTCAACGTTCTGAGGCTACTCGTTTTTGAGTTATGCGAGATACGTACGTACGTACGTTCGTACAGACGCTACGAAAAATTCTCTTCAGAATTCATTTTAAAGCAGTTTTTTCAGTTTTTTTTTGGAGGAAAAGAGTCTTTTATTCTGTCCTTACGTAGAGATATCATGCAAAAACATCGTTAAATTGCATTCGAAAGTGGTCAAAGTGGATATTTTCGTTGAAATATGCTGCCTGAAGCTTTTCGCGATTACAATACTTCCTTTTTACTTAGCATAAGGAATTAAAACTGAAAAATAATTGTACTTTCGAAGGAATCCAAAACATTGATTTCTGGTTGCTAGCTAGCTGTGCTGGTTTCTCATACAATAAATGCAGTTACAAAAGAGCGAGGTTTTTCCTTGTAAAATTTTGTGAATTTTTGAATGTAATGCAGCTCGCACATTCGCTTGCAAGAAATAAGCTATCGGCTAATAAAATTTTCATAAATATTTATGTCTTTAGTGTAATTATTAAAGGATGCATCTTAAGTGCACTATAGTGGACCTTCAATTGGCAGCAACCTCTCTGAGACGATCACCTCTGAAACTAAGCAGTATTTTTGAGAACATAAATAAAAGGGGTTGTAAAGATCATCTTCCCCAAGCAGGTACTTACACAGAAAATTGAAAATCGTCTGGAAGGATAAATAGTCAGGTTAAAGAGAGTCTAATATGCATCTTTGCTGCAAAATGTCGAGCTTACGAATGGTATGTAGCACAAGTAAAACCCGGCAATAGTTATAAAATCCTGTAGATAAATACGGATGATAATTGGCTCTCTTCAGTTTCTTCTCTTTTCACTTCCTTGTAAGAGGTAAAGGAAGTACTATAATAGCGAAAGATTTCGGGTATCATATTTCGACAAAAATATACATTTTGACTCTAGAATCCATTTGAACGATTTTTTAGTGACATTTGTTAGTGCGGATGGAATAAGGGACTATTTTTTCCAAAACGGATTGTAAAATGGACTTCAAATAGATTCAGAAAAGATTTTTTCGTGACGTCTGTACGTACGAACGTATGTATGTATCTCTCATAACTCAAAAAACGAGTGTCCTTGAAATTTTGTATACTTGACTGCTTCTCAAATTCTGTATACGAAACAACAAAAAAATGGAGGTTTACATCTAGTTGTGCACTTTCATTTTTTGTTGTATTCGGCCGAACCAAACGTGTATGTACACACACACACACATATATATACATATTCAAGGACAATCGTTTTTTGAGTTATGAGAGATACATACATACGTTCGTACGTACAGACGTTACGAAAAAATCTTTTCTGAATCTATTTGAAATCCATTTTACAATTTTACAATCCGTTTTGGAAAAAATACTTCCTTATTCCGTCCGCACTAACAAATGTCACTAAAAAATCGTTATTAAACATTAAACTAATCCTTTTACCCGGCTTAGTGAGCTCTGTTTTTTTTTTTTTTTTTTTTTTTTTTTTTTTTTTTTTTTTTTTTTTTTTTTTTTTTTTTTTTTTTTTTTTTTTTTTTTTTTTTGTTTTTTTTTTTTTTTAAATTTTATAGTAAATTGCGCATTTTTTCCTTTAAAAGAAATTGAATGAGGTTGTTTTTATGTTACGGTTAAGGTTTTTATGCCTTTAGTTCATCTACATGCAATAGTTGTAGAATTATCAACAATTTAAAAGTTAAAGTGACGCTAAGTCTAACGAGGCTGCCATTAGTTTACATTTGAAACTCTTAGTAGAGCAGTGAATTAAGTCAGCTGGTGCACTAACTTCGGTGTTATTTTGCAGTATTAATTATCTAATCAAAATGCATTGAGAACCAAAACTAACTTAGTCTGAACTAAGATTTCATTCTGAACGCACTCGCTTGCTACGCTTCGGCCTAGCTGGACTGTTGTCTTCTGCTTCCTTCTTACTGCAAAGTTATCAAAAATGTTATCAGAAAACCTCTTGAAATAAGCAAATATAATGTCACAAGTTGTTTGTGGTCGCAATATGCTTACTGAAATGAAATAAAGATTTTATCTGCCTTTTATTTCGTCCAGTTTCTCATTCATTGTGGATCGGCATTCAGCATTTTACGACATAAAAATTTGCGCTGCTTACTGATTCAAAAGTCTCCGTTTTACACCATCAATACTGAAAAGCCCCTTTTTATTTAATATATACTATATAATTTAGCAACATTTTGTGTTCGTTATAAAACATAAAATACAAAAGGTTTGACTTTCGTACGACAAAAAATAATGATCGAGATGTTTGATATATAACTTTTAAAAGGTATCAAGTATATTAAAATGCAGTTGGGTATCATAAAATCCTAAATCTATTTCCGAATTCCTTTGATAAAATTTCAGTCAATGACGCATAGCTTTCAACGTTTACAAGAGTTTGTTCACAAAGAATTTCAGAATGAATGAACTTTCTTTACAGGTTAATTTTTAATACGAAATTACTGGAATTTATGTTTAGCTTCGATAAAGAAACGTTTAAAAGAATGACAATGCTATGATTTTTTTAAATATCATTTTTTGGTTACTTTTGACCTTAAGAGCTCATATTATATTCATTTAAGTTAATCATGTCCACTAGAACCATTCCAAAACATTTTCAAGTTCAACGTCACTTTCAACCTCCCTTATTTCACTTTACATTCTCTGAGAGTGAAGAGTTGAACATTCTTAGTTTAATCATCCACCGTTACAATCGCAATATTGAACAATTTATTATTAAATCTGAAAGATTGTATGACGGATGTTCAACCTTGGTTTAGTATTAAAAACATAGACAATGCTAACAGCTTTTAAGGGCGGCCGTTTTTATTTTTAATTCGTAAGTAATGCACTATACTATATTACACAATTCCAAACTATAAATTATTACGAAAATTTCACTAGATATGATAACTGTTTTCTAACACACAAAAAAGCTTTTTATGAAACTTTTGGGAAATATACTTACTATCTAAATACGCACAATTCTCTTGAGAGTGAAGGAGCAAGTGGTGAAATTCAACTGATACCCCGTATTTGTACAAAAGGTTTGAAAACTTAGTGATAAAGATGCTCATGTTCTATTTCATGCTCTAGTGCTTCTTGCAATCTGTTTTGCATACTAAGAGGAATATGGATACAATAAATCAAAGCTTTACTTATTGGTTAAAAATAAATTATGGTTATAAAAATTTACGAAATTTTTAGCGAACGATTGCCTTTAATATAAAATTATTGAACTGCGTTTGAATATATATGTTACCGTGAAAGACCGAAATTGGAGAATGTCGACTTTCACCGGAGAATTCACCAAATACGTCGGTGAAAGATCGAATATTTCTTTACATTCTTGTATATTCGGACCCTCACCGGTCGACAGTCGACATTCGATCGACAATCACAGATATGCTCTGGTGTAGGTCGAAAAGAGAGGAGTATATGTACACGCTGCCATTCCAAAAAGAAGTGTTCCACAAATAAATGCAGTTGTAAAAGCAAGGGCCTCTTGTGCAATGAAAGTGTCATAATAGTTTAAGTTGTTACAATAAATAAGATTTGAATCACGTAATTTGGTAAGTTTTAACTTCTATTATTTTCCTTTCTCATTTTGAATGTACTGTATGTTTTAAGTTCTTAATTTCTTATTTGAGTTTCAAGTGCGTTTTTTCGTGAATGAATTTACGGGAAGGAAATATAATATTCTTATATGTTCACATTCACCATTAGTACATGGTGAATGTCGACATTTACCGGTGTAAGTCAGAAATAAGTGTATTTGGAAAATATTTCGGACATACACCAAGCGACTATGTGAATGTTGACATTCACCGGTGAAAGTCGACATTCTCCAGATTTCGGTGTTTCACCGTAACATATGTATGGAATGAAAACGAAATTAGAAGCACTTGTAGGAAGCACGCTGAGATGTAGAAGCACCAAAATTTCTGATGGCAGAGTAGATCCATATTGAAGAAGAATTCTGATTGCGTAGAATGTTAAATCCTTAATGACCAGGAAACTTCGCAGTTGAGGCGGATTAAATTCCATTTTTATTTAAATTCTTATTTGTGGACTCAATTTACTTGGTATTCTTAATCTTGCCTATTTTCAAAACATTTATATTTTTGATACTGTTCAGATAGGAAGAGAGTACAGTGAAATTGCCTCCAAGCAGCAGACAAAGAGAAGTTAAAGTGCGCATTTATGCTATATGGCAATCTGTTAAGAGAAAGGTTTTGGCTTAAGTTAGAAAGGTTTCAGTTCTCAGAGTCTAGGTTTCCAATTAACTGCGTTATTGGAAACCTAGACAATTACGCAAGCTCTAAGGCATAGATTAATCTAGAAATGTCGTTATTAGCCCCAAACTCCTGCAGGTAGTTTCTAGAAAGATAGATTTTTTAAAGTTTCTAGAGAGGTTGTCCTCGTGGGAGTACATAGCTGAAGAGAGTGATGAGACGTCTAGATAACCAATAAGTTCGGACACTGACGATCTAACTAACTTGACTAACAAGTATCCGATTGTTGGAGCCATTGAAGCCGGATCCGGCCATCGGGTTAGCATCAGCGTCAATGTATTATGGAGCTTAACAGGTTTTAAAATTTTAATTTCATAATCGTAGTTGCATCAGTAAACTGTTGATTTTCTGCACAAGAAAGACAGTTTGTTGTCAAGAAATTTGTAGAGACATCAGGGTATTTAAAGCAGGAAACAGGAAAAATGAGCAATGCCCTTGCCATAACTTGAACCTGGACCTTCTGGATACGAGTCGAATGTGTTAACCTTTACATTACTAAGGCATGCATAAAGGATGGAGAAAATACTTTATAAACTGCTGAATTGGCCGTGGCCTCTTATGACCATAAAACCAACTTGTTGGTTAGGTGGGTAAGGCTGCGCCCACTTCTGTTATACTCCCTTATAAATTGTATAATTTCTTGTAAAGTAATAAAATTTTAATTTCCTTCATCCTAGAGGGTTGAAACTGTAACGCCACAGCTAGCTGAGTGACCCGTACAATGGGAAAGGTCGTGAGTTTGGATTTCACTCTTCAGCTCTTCAATTCGGAGTTTTTCAGAAATGCTTCGACACCTAATGATAAGTTACTTGTGCTTGTATCAATCTTGGAAGATATTTTTATTGTAAATGCATACGAGCACGCTAATCAAAATTTACGCATTCTGTATTTATATTATTCTTGAATATTATTTTTATGTGAATTATAATTATATCATTTAAATTGTACTTTTGATATTTCCCCATTTTTCGAAGCAAATTTAAGCGTCTATTTGCTGTACTTTGTATTTTTAATGGTATGTTCTCTTATTTCCATAGTTGTTTTTCATACTTTCATGCCGCGCCCTGTTGATTTCGTATTTATTTGCTTGTTGATTTCGTTAATTTCATATATATACTTGCTTTCATTTCTAATTTGTCTAGTTGTTTTCCATACGTTCAGGCCATGCCTTGTTGATTTCGTATTAAGGGTCCATCTGATATTCTGAACCTAGTTTTTGACACTTACAAAGGATGCCCACAAGGCTCTTGCAGCACTCCTCTGTTCTGGGGCCTCATTGTTAATGACTTACTGCAGAAAGTCAATATTTTGTATTGCGATATCTGTTATGCCAAAGATATATTGGTTATGGTGGAGGGAGACTCTCTTGAAAAAGAAAAAAGTAAAAAGTAGAAAAGTATTGAAAAAATGGAGTGACAGAGAAAAATATATTTTAATATGAAAAATGGGACGTTTCTTCGGGTGGGAAGACTAGACCCCACAATGAAACTTAAGGGTAATCGTATCAATTGGTGAAATATAAATATCTAGGATTATTATGAGGCAATGTTTGAGGAACATTAGCATATAATGATAACAGATACATTTTAAAATGTATAAGTAATTTTAGTGTGCTATTTTGAATAGAAAGAGTCATCCGAGAGAGATATTAGAATGATCATCCTAAAATTTTATGGAACGGAGCTGGGGCTGCCGGGCAGAGGAGGGTATAGGATTGAATGAAATTGGACACCCGGAGAGAGGCTGGAGTTGCTATCAAACGACTCAGAACCGTTCGACTGAATTGCTGGTCTTGGGGTGTTTCACCTTCTCGATTATAAATTATATACAAAAGTTTCTATAGCAATAAAACTATTAGAGATATGAGCGCGCCTGAGATAACACGACCTGACTTTTGTAAAAGTCTACAGTGTAATAGTATCATGGCAGAGGGAATAGTTCCCCGTGTTAAAATATAAAATAAATATTACATGGGCATACAGCCTGGTATAAGCATAGATATGTGATAAAACATGTATTGTACGAGTTACATGTGATATTACTTCAATCTGACGCTATGTGTAATTAAATATTACCTGAATCATATTACAATTATTTTACGAGATCTCAAACTAAACTTGATTATTTACACATTGACTGAATTTTCAATATCTTAAATGGCTTTACAATATTATTTTTTCAAGTGCATACAAACCGGATAGTAATATGCTTACATACAATAGTTTGCTCTACAGTCTGTAATCTAGGGTGAGCTATTTTTAGGTGATTTCAGTTGTGTGGTAGTTGCCTGCCATTAAATTATATGCGAGATACAATCTCAAGGAGGGGGAGAATTCTTAGTACCTGCTGAGCATAGCTGATTACCCTCTATTTAGTTTTTGTCTGCTTGTTGCCGCAGGTATTCTCGGCCCATTGCGGCCAGTATTCACTGCTTGGCATTTTTAAATGCAAAATGTACTCACAAGTTAGGCCTTTCAATAAGAGAATGAGGATATTATTCACCTAATTACACGATTTGGATTATTATGTAATCTTGATTCGCCTTCTGGTGGCGAAATAGCCGTTTTCACAGATGGTTCTGGAACTGATGGAGGAGTGGGTAGCGCTGTGATAATTTTTGTTTTCATCGAGGGGAGATAGACAGTGTGAGAATAAAACTTAAACCAATGAATTCAGTTTATCAAGCAGAATTATACGCATTGACAGAGGCTTTGAATTGGATTAAAAAAATTAACAGTTCGATGTTTTATAAATATTTATACTGATGCCCTATCTTCGCTTCAGGCACTCGCCCAATCAGATCTTAAAAATTGACTGATTAATGAAAAAAGACTTTTAAAAAGGCTGAACGAAACATATTGTAATTAACTGGGTAAAAGCACGACGGGAATTGCCGCAAAAATGAACGAGCAGACTTGGGACTGCTAAAATGACGGCCTTGAGGATGGGACCGATTATTTGAATCAAATCAGAAAAAGACCATGCTGAAATGGAAAACTGGATTTATAAGAATGGCATTTTCGCTGTGAGCCGTCTAATAAGAGTTAATGAAAAATATAAGTAAGCAAGAAGAGGGCTATATAAATAATGTTTTATAAATAGGTTACTGATACCATGGGCGTTTTCCGGCTTATTTTAATCGGTTCCATCTACAGAATAAATGATACTAAGTTTGGGGAGACCAGGCACTTCGTCGATGAATGTACGCTTACCCGGAGTGGAAGAGAGAAATGTAGAAGGAATTTTAAGGAATATTTTAAAAGGAACTAATAAAATTTGAAAGATTTAGCAGAGACAATAATGAAGATTGTACATACGGACAAAGATAGAATTGGAATTCGACACTGAAACTCATTTTGGACTTAATATGTTTTTTCTTATATTTATTTTTTTCCGACCATTCCCACATATCGGCTAGGAGCTTTTTATCGGCTAGAAGGATCGGGGCTGTGCCCTTATAATAGTAATATACTTGCTTTAATCAGTTCATGTTGTCGGTTTAATTTTATGCTTTGACTAATCTGGTCGCCAGCCTAGAAGCAAACCTTGGAGTCTTTTAGTGTTTCATTAGTGTTGTGGAGGTAGTGAGTCTGATTAAAAGTTCGTTTAACTTTCGAAAGACTTTTAAAACTTATGACGAATACCCCGCACTTCTTGGTAAGAACTCTCGGAAAAAAATTCTTCATTGAAGATAGGCTTTCGAGAACAGAAGCTTCGGTGACATACCATTCCGACCAACATGTAAATTCTGATAATATTTTTTTAAGCTTCCAAATAGGGATTTTTTGCTAGAGTTATAAAATTTGTCTTACCCTAGCTCTTATTT